GTCCCCGCGCCCCTCCGCGCCGCCCGGCCACCCCGGGGAAGCGCTTCGCTCTGGCTCCGCGGGACTCGGACCTCGTCACGGGTCCAGGGTCACAGCCTGCACCAGAACTTCTTCCTTAATTTGTGTAGGGTAGAAAGGCAGAGGCTACAGCGATGGTAGTTAAGGAAAGCAGGGCATTGTGTTGTTCCCTCCCTCCTTCCCTTCCTTCTCTTTCCAGTAAGACAAGGAAAGTCCTGCTATGTAACCTGGGCTCTGCTAGAGTTTAAGTCCTCCTGCCTCAGCGAACTAGTGCTGGATTTACAGGCATTCAACCCCTAGCCTTATATCCTTATTTCTAAAAGCCATGGATGGATGGATAGATAGACAGACAGATAATGGGTAGGCCATAATTACGCTTCAGATAGATAATAGATAATGGGTAGGCCATAATTATGTTTCAGTGTCAAGAGTTTTTCTATACTTGTAAATTACTTTATGCTGGTCCACTTTTTTCATTCTTTGAGCTCACTAGTTTGTTTCATTTCAGATGTTAATCCTTTTGGTTACTTTAGTAAAGCCTTCTGAAATCACGACAATGGACGTCTCTTGAAGAGCACAGCTTAGCTGAAACAGTTGTTATTTTAACCGTTTTCTTCTTCGTATTTGTCAGAGAGTCCCACGGACAGGTTGGGTATACAGAAATGTGAAAAATCCAGAGAGTGTCTCGGATCACATGTACCGGATGGCAGTTATGGCTATGGTCACCAAAGATAATCACCTTAACAAAGACCGGTGAGCTCTAAGGCTTTTGATGTCTGTGGGTGTACACCATTGTGTTTGAGGCTTCTTTCTTCTTAATAGTTTATGTGTCAAGAAATAGAATTTGAACCCAACCACACAGACTCGGGATAAGAGAAAGGGGAACTCTTGAGTTGATTGCTTGAGTTTTTGTGTTTTTTTTTTTTTTATTGCCAGTCCTAGGGCTTGAACTCAGGGCTTGGGTACTGTCCCTGAGCTTCTTTTGCTCAGGCCTAGCACTCTACCACTTGGCCTACTGCGACACTTCTGGCTTTCCACCACTTCTATGTTATTAGATTCTAAAATTCTTCTATTGTTTTATATGCTATTTACTTTTACCTAGGTTCTTTTGAGAATAGTAGTATCCATTTGCAAGGTGACATTTTGGAATTGTATATACAGGATATAGTTGAGAAAGGGGCATCCTCTCCTTCAGTCAATGAACAAGTGTTTAAAATGCTTTTGGAGCATGGGAAGAGAACTTCAGTCACACAGTAATGAATTATAACAGGTCAGAAATGATTTCTGTAAAAGTAAATTTAGAGTAGAAAACTAGCAAGGTATTGGCTTGGTTGGTTTCATGGAGGAGGAGGCACTTGAGTTGAGCTCCAAAGGGTTAATACAGGTAAAGAAGTAGAGGTTCAGTGAAAAGGGTAAAGCCCTGACAGGTAGGAAAATAAAGGAGTATGAGAAGGACATCAGTTTAATTGCAGTTAAAGGTTTGTTAGGGAGCCTGGGAAGTTACACAGCAAACAGTTCTGATTTGAGGAGATTTTTGGCAAACACAAATGAAGTGAGAAAAAAGCAAATGCAGTGTTCCCTGCACACTCATGTATTGTGTTGAATAGTCATGTTTTGGTTCAGAACTGATGTAGGCTGGTAGAATATAATTACTTTGGAAAATTTTGTATTAAAATATTCTGTGAGGGTAGTAAAAATATATTACATAATTCAAAATGGTATAGAAAAAATACCTTGTAGTGAATATAATTCTGTGTAATTATTCAACATTTCTTGCCTGGTCAGATGTATACGCCTAGCCCTGGTTCACGATATGGCAGAATGCATCGTTGGGGACATAGCACCAGCAGATAACGTCCCCAAAGAAGAGAAACATAGGCGAGAAGAGGTCAGTGTGGATTGTTGACTCTGTAAAAGACCACTAAGAGAACTTGTTGGTTCATCAGACATATTTGTAGTAAAGGAGGTCCCACTTAGCCACCCTCAGTGCTGGTGTCTTGGGAATGAGAGTCAGTCAGAATATGTTTAGAGTTTTAAGGGCCTAGCTAGTGTATATGGAAATTGATCTTCTAAGATGATAGGCAACTAGCTGGGATGGCCTAGAGTTTCAGACTCAATAGGTTTGGGTCATTGGCTAGGATAGTGAGGGAAGGCCTTACAGAGAGATTTGAAGAGTAAGTTTACTGTTTCAAATGGTTTATAGTCTTACCTTTCCACAAGTGGAAATTTCCTGGAGTAATTAGAAAATTGGGCTTTGCTATTCTCAACCTTTCATACAAGAATAAGAATGTATACCTTTTGAACTCAAGGACATACAGTTAGGTTAACATAAGGCTTCAGTTCTCACTAGTATGTGGATATACGTACACACACACACACACACACACACACATTTGCAAACATGGTGTTCATTATCTTAATGGAAATAAACAGGACATAAATTATTTGTAGAAATTCCACACTAGTTTTTTAGAGCTTAATCAATAATATAATTATTATTATTATTTGGTGAATTTTAAACGTAATCCTTAGTTGTTGGAAGGTAAGTAAAGAATAATTGATTTGCATGCTTTGTATATGTGTAGGTAATGATAAAATATTCATTGTCAGTGTAAGCTCTAAACTCAGAACCTAGTGCCAAAAGGGAAGACCTTCATGTATGCATATATGCCAGTCCTGAGGCTTGAACTCAGGGCCTGGGCTCTGTCCCTGAGCTTTTCTGTTTAAGACTAGTGCTCTACCACTTAAGCCACAGATGCACTTCTGGCTGGGGTGATTTGAGATCCTCAGATCTCAGCCTCCTTAGCAGCTAGGATTACAGGCATAAGCCACCAGTGCCCGGCTTAGGAAGGACATTTTTGAAGCAGGTGATGAAAATTTAAGAAGGCTTTTGAAAAATAGTACCGGTTTCCAGTTCAGGGACTATTGCGAGCTACTTTTGTTGTAGGACTTAGAGGTTGATCCTAAACTGCTTAGTAAAAGTATTTATTGTGGTAGTTTTACAGTGTAGGTAGACTTAACAAAGTTCTCAGAGCTGATGGAGAATAGAATTCAGTAGGCAATAGTCTTTTTTTTCCCTCCTAGAGGCAAGAGGATCCACAAAGAAATCGAGTTCTAATTTAAAAGTTCCAACCTACCCTAAAATGTGATCAATCTTAAAGGAAACATGAAGAATGCATTTCTCTCCCTGCAAAAATATAGGTCCAAACTAGGTTGGATAGGAGAAAGGGAAGAAGTGTAGGAGCTATTTTTGTATATGAATTAAACTGTTAGGAATCAAGAATTCCTAGGCTGAGTGGATGAATTAATGCCCTCTACAAGCAATGTAGATTTGGAGTTGCAGAAGGCAATTGGCACCTGAACCAGAGGAGGATGTGTCATAAAGGATGACATACAGAAAATAGAAGGTGTGGTAGGGGACAAATCATACTGAATTACCAGAGGATCATCAAAGACCTTAACACGAGATGACATGGGGCATTGTGCCTGAGTGGAAGAAGAAAAGACAGCCTACCCCTCTAGAGAGTGTGTGTTCCATAGAGAAATAAGTCAGAGCCTTCTGGCGTAGAACCGCCATCAAGAATCTCCAGCCACTGCAGGTGAGGAAGACCTACCAGTGTTCAGACAGGAGCAGAATCCTGGCCAGGGTTGCCCCATGGATGCACCCAGAGAACTGAGAAATCTGCTGCTGTCCTTGTGGATGTGGTCAGATGTTGGCTAGTGTGAAAACCTTTCTGGCCTCATTAAGACTTCTGACTGCTGCCTACTCCTTCTGATTAACAGAGGAATAAGGAGGGATAAGGGAAATGTCTTAAAGAACATCAAGTTCTTAGCCAAGAAGGCAAGGGCTTGGAAAGCACTGGTGCTCCATTGCCTGTTCCTGCTGCTGGTCAGGATTTGGGAACAGATAGGAAGATTTGGCAGGTGAACAATGCTCTATGCAGATGTTGTTGATGAATAAGACTCAGCTTTCTGAACCTTGCACTAAGATAATTAAACAGGATTTCTTGGCCTGAGGTGGAAATACATAATGAGATCCGGGAAGAGTCATTTGCCCAGAGGCTAGCAGATACATCAGTCTCCTTTAAACTGAAGGAAAAAAAAGGAAGAAGAAAAATGCTTAATAAACTGGGTGATTGTCTTAGAAGACTACCATTAAAGATAAAGCAGAATATATAATGAGAGCATAAATAATAAATACAAAGAAGGAAGCCAAAAGCAATGCTTGAGTCTGGCTCCCTTCCTAAATATGATCAGGTAAACTTTATTATAACCTGAACTGATCGATATGCCTTACAGAATGAGGAGTCTGAGCCTAGAGACTTCAACATAGAAAAGGTATGGATTATATGCCTTTGCAAAGGGAAAATATTAAAATGGAAGTCAGAGTCATTCCTTGTATATATCTGTGTGTTAAAGTAGCTAAAGAACCACAACGTAAGAGGAAAATAAGATGACCTTATAGCAGGATGGAGAAAATGAAAATTACGATGAACATTCATAAAGATCTTATTTGTGCCAAGTTATAAGTATTTTATATATACATATATTTATATACACACACATTAATAATCACCACCACAATGCTACGAAGGTACTCTTTTATAAACAAATGAAAAAACAGCAGGACTAAGAGGTTAAGTAACTGGCCCTGGACTCTATAGCTAGTGATTGCCAAGCCTGGCTTGAAAATCTGATCAGGATTGAAAGTCTGCAGCTAACTATTACCCTACTCAGCTCCATCAGGGCTGTGTGTGAATGATGGGTGCTGCATTTACAGGAGGGTAGTATCTAGCAGGGGTGGTGATGGTTCACTTCTGTTTTGTCTTGTTCAGACCACATGGAGATCTCTGCGTTAGGTGCTGGCAGCATCATTTAGAGCAGGGAAGTAATCCTTGTCAGAGCATGGCTTTTGTGTTTCTGTGCAGAGAGTTTCAGTTTTGTTATTTTTATACATGTCATTCAAACAAAAGGAATGGGTAAACTTGTGTTTCTAGAATAGTTTAGAGAAAAGTATCTTTATAGTGACACTTTTAACTTACAAAAATGCAAAGTATTTTCTCAAGTAATTTGCTGAGAGTAAAAATAAGGAATAGTTCAAATACAGAATCAATTTCAAGCTACTAAAGGTGGTGTAAGGCTATAGCTCTGTAGTAACTAAACTGTTCAAAACAAATGTTACTTGGAAGACAAGTCTTTGATAAATTTGGTTAACTGTAAGTGGATGGAATCTGTAAAATTTTTTATTCTTGTCACTTTGGAGGCATGTGAACCTCTTATTTGGCTTTTGTAGACTAGTTGCCACTTCAGATAAATATAAACATAATGAAAATAATGTTATTTCAGGAAGCTATGAAACAGATAACCCGGCTTCTACCAGAGGACCTCAGAACAGAGCTCTATGAACTTTGGGAGGTAAGTACATATGTTAGGTAACTTTTTATTGGTACTGAATTTATATGGCTCATTGATGTTTCAATTGGCTTGGACAGTCTGTCTCTAATTTACTGTTGTCTAGCACACATTTTGCATATATTTCTAGTTCAAGTTCAAGAACCCATTTCAAGTTCATGTAAAAAACTAGTATCTGGGATTACTGGCATGTGTCCACATACCCAGCTGCTGTTTTCTTGATTTTTATAAGAAGTCTGTATAAGATCTCACTACTACTACTACACTACTATACTGTACTACTACTATACTATTCTGTTCATTTTGTTGTGCAATTAGATTTTTGAAACTTTCAAAAGGAAACTTGGTTCTAATCATGGTTTTTTTTCAGTTTCTTGTTCTGTTTTTTTAAATTGACATGTAAAATTATCTGTGGGTACTGGTGGTGCATGCCTGCTCTCCTGATTAGTGAGGATGCTGAGACTCAGAGGAGTATGGTGTGAAGCGAGCCTGAGCAGAAAAGGTAAAAATATCCAGGAAAAGAATAGCTGGAGCCATGCTTCAAGTGGTGGAGTTCCAGCCATGCACACAGGAAGACCTGAGTTCAAACCCAAGTGCCAGCAAAAAAAAAAAAAGTATATATTTATTTTGCATGCGCAGTATTTTGAAATATGTATATGTTGGAATGGCTCAGTTAATCTAATGAATATAAACATTACTTCATATAGCATTTTTTGTGATGAGAACAGATTGCTTTAGAAAAAACTGATTTTTTTAAAATGTAGTGTTAGAAAAATACAGTGACATTTTTATTTTTAAATAGTTCCAGACTCTTTCCCCTTTCCCCATTTTTTACCTGTGTTTTCTTTTAGTTCTAGAATTCTTTTATACTGAATTTTGGTTCTGTTCCCAAATTCTGATCCTGTGAGTCTCTGTCCTGGATGGTTGTCTCTGGAAGTCAGACTGAACTATACTGTGTATACCCTGTGCTCATCCAGTACAGGTGTGGGCAGGCTCTCCCCAGGGATTCTTAGTGAACACCTGTTGGCTATTTGAGGCTCTCCTAGTGTCAGTCCTCCATGCTCTCGCTCTCTGTGCTTTCTGCCAGACACATGCTGATCTCACGTCTGCCTTGAGGCTGTGGGTGTTTTTATACACTTACATAAAGTTTGGAGTTCGTGGGGATGTCATGCTCCTTGGTGTCATTGCAAAGGGTACTCATGGGATTTTTGATTTCACTATTTCACTGTCAGTTTTTCCCTCTTTCTTTCTCTCCCTTTTTATCATCTATATATTTACCCAGGGCATAAACAAGGAAGTCCCTTTCAACTTTCCCTCTCATTCCTTTACTTATTTTAGTTGACTTCATCCTTAAGATTTTTAAGCCTTCCCACATCTCCCTCATCTTCACTGCCGTGACTACAGAACAGACATCTGCTTGTGGTACAGAGTTACAGTCTTAAAAACTGTAGGCCTTGCAGTCTCTTGCTTACAAGAGCCTTTTATTTCAGCCTTTTCTTCTCTCTTTCTGCAATATTCAGTGCTATCCTTAGAAAGTACTGGCAGTAATTTCTCCAAATGCCTTATCTCCTCATTGGAAAATAAAATTAGAGAATATCACCATTTTTTAAAAGGGAAAAATCTAAAAATTATATTTCTTCTTGAAAAATTTACAAAGTTATTAGAATTTGCTATAAATTATGTTGGGTTTCCTAGTGGTAATGAAGTATTTTTCTCATTTTCATCTTTCAATAAAAAATAACCCTTTAGATTGCTTCGCTTGGAGATCCTTTGGTTAAATCATGAACTTGAATTTATTCAACAATACTATGACTGAGACAAGTACTTGAATAATTTTTTTTTTTTTATTTTGGTTAGTCATGGGGCCTGAACTCTGGGCCTGGGCACTGTCCCTCAGCTGTTCAGCTCAAGGCTAGCACTCTACCACTTCTGGCTTTTTCTGCTTATGTGGTGCTGAGGAATTAAACCCAGGGCCTCATGCATACAAGGCCAGCACTCTACCACTGAGCCACCTTTCCAGCCCTAAAATGTTATTTTTAAGTGCCTTTAAGATAAAGCAAAATATATATTGTTTCCTTTTTAATGATTTCCCTTTGTCATGTTCAACAAATTGAATTGTTGCCTTTATAAGAATAAGACATCTAATAAAAAATCGACAGCCTTTAAGAGATTTTGTACCACATCACCCTACCAAGAAAGAATGACAGGCTTATTATCAGAACACATTTAGGGTAGTATTACAAATGAGAACTTTGTAGGGAAAGCAGTTGGGAACCCATTAGTCTTAGAAGAATGATCCTTTATAGCATCGATTGGGACTTGTGGCTGTGGGAATTTGTCATGCTCTAAGACGCAGATTTCCTGGAGCTCCTTGTTTCAGTTCTATACTTCTTCTTTTTTTTTTGGTCGGTTGTGAGGCTTGAACTCTGGGCCTGGGCATTGTCCTTAAACTCTTCAGCTCAAGGCACTTACTCTACCAGTTGAGCCACAGTGCTACTTCTGGTTTTCTGGTAGATTACTGGAGTTAAGAGTCTCACAGACTTTCCTGCCCTGGCTGGCTTTGAACTGTTATCCTCAGATCTGAGCCTTCTTAGTAGCTAGGATTGCAGGCGTGAGCCACCAGCGCCCAGCTAAGTTTGAAGTTCTTAACTGTGTCTCCAGTACTTATAACCAGAAGGATTTAATTAAATCCACACTGGGGGGGGGGGGGACGGTATAAGTCCCTAAGGGATTTCCAGGTAAACTGGTAGCCAAAAGTAAGTGGAAAAGGCAGAAATTTGCATAAAGAGGAAAATGAAGTCTGATATTATATGAGAAGAGAAATATAACTTTAAGAAGCCTAAGATAAGAAATCATCTTAAAGTTAAAGGGTTTTCTCAGCTGGATTAAAGAATAATGGTACTGAAATGAATTAAATAGGAAGAAAATAACTGGGTTGTGTCTATAATGAACAAATGAGATTTACAACGCACGGGGCAGGGTATGTGGCATGATGAGTGCATCTTTCTTGGTGGATTGCTGATGGGAAGCAATGATACTATGTGAGTTCTCCGGAGGTTTTGTATTAAGAAATGTGACTCTAACTTAGGTACCAAAAATAGAAGTTTCCTGGACCCCCATCAGGTAGCCCTAATCATGTTGCTTCAATTGTTCCCTTTCTTAGGAGTATGAGACCCAATCTAGTGCAGAAGCTAGATTTGTAAAGCAGCTGGATCAATGTGAGATGATCCTTCAGGCATTTGAATATGAAGATCTTGAGAACAAACCTGGATGCCTCCAAGAATTCTATGATTCCACAGCAGGTACTCAAATGCTACTTTTTAATGTTAAAAACATTTATTAAATGCTCATAAATATATTTAACATTCCTAGTGTGACTCTAGATTTTTAAACAGTACTATAATTTTATTTCCTGTTTAATTTCAAGGAAACAGCGAGAGAAGACGGGAGGAAGGGACAGAAGCAGAGAGAGAACAGGGAGAGGTTAGGGAGATTGCAAAAAAGGAAGAGAAAGAGAGATACTAACATCAAATGCTATTTTCAACAAAACTTGTAGTTTGGCTTATTCTCATTCTTCTCAGTGTAGTAACTAATGGTGTGTTGGGCTCCTCTTCTAACCTTACCCTGTGAAACATCTAAAAAGAAAACGGTGGGATTGCTCATACTTAGAAGTATTGCTAAGAACATGGACACAGTGCTGCTAAGATAAACAGTGCTGGGACTGTATTCGTCTTCTTTCTCTACCACCTTCAAGCTTTGTGACCCTGTGTGTGCTTGAGACCTCATCTGAAAAATGGGGATCATAATTGTTTTTTTAAGAGACTCAAAGTAGATAATGTGTATGAAAGGGCCTTGTGATTTATGAGCAATTTATACTTACAGGTTCATGGAGATGAAGGAAGAAGTAGAGGTTTGACATGGGAAATAGGCTGGGTGCTGGTAATCTCATGCCTATAATTCTAGGTGCTCAGATCTCAGAAAATTGAGATCTGAGGATTGAGGTTTGAAGCCAGCCTTCACAGGAAAAATCCATGAGACTCTTATCTCCAATTAACTACTAAAATAGCTGGAATTGGAGCTGTGGCATAAAATTCAGGGACAGCACCCAGGCCCAAATTTAAGCCCCAGGGCTGGCACAATAAACAAACAAACAAACAAATAAATGGAAATCTCCATTGCTGATGTTATCATCATTGTAGCCCAGCCGTAGAGTCAAACTGCTTTGGTTGAATCCCAGTTCTGCAAAAAAACAAAAAACAACCCCCCCCCCCACACACAAAAATACTGTTTAATAAATCCAATGAATTACTTAGCCTCTCTGGACCTTATTAGTTTGTCTTTAAAGTGAAGCTAATAATAGCATCTACTTTATAGAGTTGTTTCAGGATATACTGGGTTATTTCAGAACTGTACCCATCACTATGTGTTAGTAATTGACTTCATTTTATAGTTACCAGAGTAAGGTGCAGAACATACTATATTAGAGGTGGCTGTTTTTCTTGCTCCTCTTTTATGGGAACCTTTTGGGGTCAGCTCAGCCTCCATCTGCAATGACAGTTACTTAAGGAATGGCCTTTCTCTGACCTTCAAGACCCTCATATGGCCTCATCAGATACAGGAGAGTCCAGCTCATAGATAGGATTTGCATTACAATGAAGTTGATTCAGTTTTCCTTTTCTCTTTTTTCCATTCCACTTCCTGTGCTCCAAACAAGGCCTCATTATTTCTATGTTGAACTATTGCTGTCATCTCTTAACTTGCCAACAGGCTTTCAAGTTTATTTTTTGTGTCTTAGTATCCTCTTTTACAGGTATAGGCATTATCACATCTATTTTCATTTTTCAGTGCTGGGGATCAATCCCAGGGCCTCAGACATGCTAAGCAAGAATTCTACCATTGAGCTACACCCACAACCCTAACATCTTTTATTTTATTTTTTTAACTTTGTGATTTTTCTTCTCCCCACTCCCCACAATACTGAGATTCGAACACTTGACCTGGCAGTTTTGCTCACTGACTTATCACCTGAGCCACGCCTCCAACCCTATCTTCTTTCTCAAAAAAAAAAATAAACTCTTGTGTTTACCTTCTTTCTAAAATAAAATATCCTGATATTTTGAGTGAACTTAAATATCCAATAGTCAAAAGCAACTCATTTCTCTGGTCTCCTTTTCTTACCTATCCAAGTAACTATTCCCTCCCTGCTTAATGTGATCTGCACTTGATCCAGAGCTTGCCATACTATAGTTCACCTACTAATGCTTCTCTCTGACTCTCTCCTTTTATTCGTTTCCATTACTGTAACAAAATACCCAAAAATTGTATAATGGACTCATTGTTTTGCAGATCTTAGTCCATAACTGGCTGATTCTGTTGCTCAGGGCCTATATAGTAGGAGCTCATGAAGCAGCAAAGCAGCTAGAGCATGATCAAAAAAATGTCTCCTGGAAGGCATGATTTGATAGGCTCCCTCTCTTAAAGCTTCCACTACCTTCTAATAACATCATTTTAGCATTGGAGGGGCAGGGGTTATTTCTGGTCTAGTGTATTGACATTTACTTGGTGGGGCTTAGGACATTGTGGAGGCACCAACAAGAGTATGGGCGACATGAGCCTCAACCTCATGGTAAAAGCTGTGTGAGAGAAAAAGACCAGTGTCAGAGAGAGGGTTTCAAGGAAAGGCATAACCTAAGGAGAAGGTATCAATTAGAAAGGAAAGGGAAGGGAATGATCAGAAAATAAGATAGGGAATATATAAAGTATAATGTAGATTGAACAATAAGCAACAAATACAACAGGCAAGAAGAGATGGGAAAGAGATCCTGGGTTATTGTAACCCTCTACATTAGCTACCACTGGCCTATTGCAAGTTTAGAGCTTGGTTGAAGCCCAAAGTAGAAATCTAGAGAGAGGGAGGCAGGAACAACAGAACAGATAAGCCAGTTGAGGTGAAGGGGTGTTTGCAAGAGAGATGTTTGCATTCTTGTTGGCATCCTGGGACAATCCAGAGCCCCTACTTGAGGTTTTACATGTAGGTGCTGCATTCCTTTTAATTTCAATTTTGGAATGAGCAGATTGATTTCAGCTCTCTGGGCTCTCACACCCGGGTTTCCCCATAATTCCTGGTAGGGACATTCAGGGACTGCCTAGTGCAGTTTCTTCTGGCTGTATCCAATTGATGGTTCTTTGTCTGATTTTTATCCTTATACTTGGTGGCACCTGGGGTGAGGATAAAGTGATTTCCTTTGGCCCCTTCTCAGAACCTACAATCTCCTGCTTTAGAATAAAGCATGGGTCAAATTACAGAATAGAGCCCCCGATTAATCTTGAGATTACGCTTCAAGAACTAAACGTCTTCTCTTGTCAACACAGAAATGTTTTTTTCTCCTTTTTTTCAGGAAAATTCAGTCACCCTGAGATAGTCCAGCTTGTTTCTGAACTTGAGACAGAAAGAAATGCGAACATAGCTGAGGCCACAAACAAGCCTTTCTCATAAGCGTTACATTCCTGAAATGTTTTCTTTCTGTTTCATGATACTGTTTTGCCTTTGTTAGTCTGCTAATTTCTCCAGATATGAGTCTGTTTATTTTCAATTGCAACAGAACAGGAAGGGGTCATATGAAATACCATGGATAAAGACTAGACAGGAGAGTTCCTTTTTTTTTATTATGAACTAAATAAATATTAAATACTTTGAGTTTCGGAATATTTATTTCAAGCCTTAAATCATCTTACTGTAACTTAATAATATATATCCCAGAAGGCCAGGCTCACTGAATGGTAGAAAATTTGAGTCTTTCCTTTTTTTTTTGTCAGTTGTGGGGCTTAAACTCTGGAATTTTGCTTGTTTTTGAGAATAGATTTCTCTGCTGATAGAGTGAGGAAGGGAGGTCAGAAAGGAAACTGCAGGTAATGTATTCTCCAGATATTTTATCAGATGATCACTTTTTTGAGTTAGATTTTGAATTCCATAGAGATTGCCTCTGGCTAGTGACTGTAGATTTCTGTTCCTGATAACCCTGCCCTCAAATCCTTGAGCATTTTGGGTAATAACCTGGGACATAAAATTTTAAATGCCATGTGCCTTCCTCTTTGTATTTTTCCATCTGACTTACAGATTTGAAGGCCTTGTTTATAAAAAACATTTATCGGCAGGGAAGAAATACTAATAGGAGGATTGCTGGAGTCATTGAGTCTTAGACAGATTATGTATCAACCTGACTTCTCCTCATTTTACTTTCATGGCCTAAGTATGCCTGTATTCAGTGTACAACCATTGAATAATATGCAAAGGAATAAGATTGATGAAAACCTAGTTGGTATTTTGGTGTGGAGCACTGAGGCCTGTCCCTTTAATATACCTGACGGTTTCTATTGGAAGAAAGGAAAGCATTTGAGTCTGGCCTGGCAGCGTTTCTTTGGAAACTCTATGCAGTATCCATGGATACCCAGTCTGCAGGAAGCAAGGTTCATGATCTCTTCAGAAGCAACACATACATGTGTACATACAGTTGCGTTGCACTGAAAGGAGAAAGAACATGATGTCTGATTATTTTCGGAGATATGTTAGTAGGCTAACAACTCCATCTATGAATATTGTGGCATTATTCTTCCTCTTGGCATGAGAACAGGTAAATAAAATAAACAGGTAAATAAAATAATCTCAATAAAGTTCAAGTATTTATAACCAGAAGTTTTATTTTGAATGTCTTGCAATTTTGTAAATAGCTAAGAATTCACAGAAAATTTGGAAGTCTGACTGGGTCATTCTGTATACTGATCCCTTAAATCTTATCTCAATTGACCATATTCTGTGGTTCCAAACCTTGTTTCTGAGGTAATTTGGCTTTTACACACACACACACACACACACACACACTAGTGCTATGAGTAAAATCTTTTAATAAAATAAAGACTAATAAGAGAAGTTAGTTATTGAATCCACTGTTAATGTCTACAAATATTTGAATATGACTTAAGAAAAAATTTTTCCTTTTTGGAGTATATCTGCTACTTCTTGGAATTAGTCTCCTTCTAAATAGCAACTCCTATAATTATGATTCAGAGTAAATAATTATTCTCGGGTTGAACTCAACAAAAAAGAACTCCTTGTTACTTTTTTCCCTCATGTGGATTGGCATTCCACCAGCTGTTATGTAATTTTCAATGCTCTTGTATTTAAAAAAAAATACTTATTCCTCTCAAAGCCTCTGTGGTGATATACACTCCAATATATGCTTTGATATTCTTACACAGATTGCAAAGGTGGAATGCTTTGTGAAGAAGCAGCTTCCACCCTAGCATATTTTACATGCATAATTTCAGTCTTCCGATTTAAAGATGAGAAACGATGGTTTCTGAGGGACACTCAGTGCTGCATTTTGGGTATGGCATGTGTGTCCTCTGCACAAAGTTCCCTCCTTTTCAGATTACCTGAGTAGCTATGACTCAATGTAGATTGGAGAAAGTTTTAATATTATTTTAATATCCTAGGGTGGCTGAGGTTATACTGTCATATCCTCTTGTCCTATTCAAATTAGAAGTTAATTTAAAATTGCACCTGTAAACTTATATCCTTTACAAACAATCAATAACCTTGAGGACTTGAAGGAATAAAAAAATTCAGTCAGTATTAAAATCAATTATTTTAATGACTTAAATAAACATACATAATTGATGTTGGTAAGGGGGATCACAAGCAGTTTGGTGACGTTTGTAGTCACCTGTTGCTGAAGAGTTGAAAAGAAGTCAGAGCCTCACCTGCTGAGATAGATGAAGAACTGAATGGACTTTACTCAGTCTTTAAGGACATGCATATTACCATGGAAGCCAAGCAAAAAACTAAAAGCAAATAATAGTAGCTATATGATGGGAAATATATGTTGAATTACACAGATAAGTATTACAACTAATTGTGTTCCTGCTCCAGTGTGGACTTTATTTTTTTTAAGATGACAGTCTATAAATACTGAAGGGTAATGGCTAAATGGTCCAACGTCAACACAAATACACACAGAAATCACTTTAGGAGAATTTCTGGAGATGCTGTTTGAATAACAATATCAAGACCTCCATGTTCCCAGTGGGATTTTGGTCTTCGGATCAGGATATGCTCAGGCAGAGATGGGTGGGACAGTGGCCAACAGCCAGCTCATGGATGCAGCTGCAGGTGGGCTGCACCTAGCACTGCAGCTCCTCCTCCGCCCGCCGGGGGCCTCCCGAGGTGCTCTGGGAACTGGCATGGGCTGTAGAGTTGAGGACCTCCTCAAAACTGCCTCCGCTCTGGTTCGCTCCACCTACTTTCGTCTGAAACAGGTAGATAAGAATGCAATCAGTTTATTATATGTACTTTTAACAGAAAGGTCAAAAACATGGTTACTTTCAAATTTAGAAACTTATTAACCTCCAAAGCAAGTAAAGGAGGTAAAGAAATTAGTTTCCTTCAGCTAGTGCTAGAATTTCACTCATATTTGAGTTCTGAGATCAGATTCCAATGAAGTTTACACAGTTTTAGCAGTGTTCTCTGTATTTTTTGTACATTAAGATCCTAATACCTTCAAGAGTTATAATCAGACCTGAGTGGTCCCACTCACCAGAGAACTGATTGATCAAAGGGGGATTGGATTTTAGATATAGCTGTCCCCAAATTTATAATTATAAACATTTTTATGAGAGTTGAACTTAATTTTTTTACTTACAACCTAGCAGGACAATTTTGAATTTCTGACAAATGTCCTTTGACAAAACGTCATGGCTAAATAAAACATGCTTTCTGTTCTCTGCTTCTAGAGTTGGAGTCTGAGCACTAGAAAGAAGGCAAATCATTGGAGTAAGAATATCTTTGTGTGTGTGTGTGTGTGTGTGTGTGTGCGCACGTGCACGCGCGCACTTTCAGTTGACTAACAAGAAGCACAAAACATGAATTTACATTTTAAAAAATATATGTAAGTATAGTCAGGCACCACTATCTAATACCTGTAATCCTAGCTACTTAGGAGGCTGAAATTGTGAGGATCATTGTTTCAGGACCCTGAGGTAGAAAAGGTTAACATCCCGTTCTCATTGAAGAGTTGAATCCTTGGTGGCACAAGCCTGTTATTCTGGCTAGGAAAAGCCTAACATGGAAGAGTGTTGCCCAGGCACACACCTAAGCAAGAAGCAAGATTCTACCTCAAGAACAACCAGCAAAATCAGGTTAGAATTGAAGCTCTGCAGTATGAGCATCTGTATAGTAAGTACTAGGTCTTGAATTCCAAACTCCAGTACCACCAAAGAGCAAAGGAAAAGAATGTGTATGTGTATTTGTATATGTATTCACATATATGCATGTATATACACATACATAGATGTATCTATATGTACATGCACATATACACATATTTTGAAAGATTCTTCACTAAATGCTTTTCGGAATATTTAATGGTCCAAAATGTTCAATACAAGTCTTAACCATGTACACATTGGCCTTCCCATTTAGTATCCACAATGCGGAAAAACACTCAATTTGGCACTAAGGGAAAGGAAGATATAGAAAGTAAAATGTTGCTATTGCTGAGCTGAGGTCACTTAGTGCCCTGTCACTGTCACCACCAAGGTCGCTCCCAGCCACATATACGCACACCATGGAGAAAGGCGTCCGCAGTGTCTGGAAAACAACCAGATTTTAAAAATAGTTCATTAAAAAACAAAACCCTCAAAATCCAAAAACAGTTCTAATTGTCATGAAGTCCCTTTCTGTCACTTAAAAATGGTTGATGTTTCTCCCCCCTGCATTAAAAATTCGTTTCTTTCTTTTTTCTTTGTTGAGACAGCATCTCACTATGTAGCTAGGATTTTCTCAAATTCATGGTCCTCCTGCCTTAGCTGCCCACGCGCTGGGATTCTAGATGTGTGCTCGTGTACTCTCAGCTAGAAAACTTTTTCTGAACTGCATGTTTGGTCGCAGATACTCAAATCAGCTGTTATCAAAAGCAGCCACAGCCAGCACTGCACCAAGTGAAGGAACGTGGTGATGTTTCCATATTCCATAAAGTCTGGACTGTAGCATGTGAATTTCACTTTTTTTCTTTCTTTTTGGCAATGGTAGGGTTTGAACCCAGGGCCTCACACTTGTTAGGCTGGTGTTTGACTACTTGAGCCATGTCTCTAGCCCTGACTTTTACTGATTATTTTGGAGATGGAATCTATAGATTTTTTTCTCCTTGGGTTGGCATCGAATCACAGTTTGAGATCTCAGCTTCCCAAGTAAGTAGGATTACAGGTATGAGTCACTAGAACACAGTTTGCAATTTCAAATGTCACAAATTATTGTTCTTGGTGGTTTTTTTTTCTCCCAGCCATTACAAATGGAGCTTACAGGTTCATCGGAAGTATGTGACCAGCTGCATCTGACCCATCCCTTTAGTTTGTGGACCTCTGCAAAGAGCAGTAACCCTTTTCATCTGAGCACTGAGAAGAGGCAGAGGGAATAGGGATGCTTTTAACTATGGGACTTCTCTAATTCTTTCCAAGATAAAAGGTTAAACTAATTCCGTATTGTCAAATGCAAAAGTATATTTGTTTGCCTCTTTTATAATAAAAATTCCACACCATGTAATACTAGATGTTTTCTTCGGGCTTGCTTTCTTCTACTTCTTGATTTTCTCAAGTCAAAATGATAAAACAGAGATGTTTGTAAGAAGTCAGTTTTTGTAACCCCTCTGTATAGTATTTTCACAATAAAAAAAACTTTTTAATAAAAAAAATGTCAGTTTGGCACAGAGGGGTGAACACAGGGACTTCCTGACAATGGGAATTTACTGACTACACACGGTAATACTTTAGGTAAGGACTGAAATACTTTGTTGAAGCAAAGACATGAACAATCAGCCTCTCCAGCACTGTTCTCTTCATAATGGCTCTGCATTGAAGAATTTGTCACTTTTGTCACCAAAATTATAATTGTTCCTTAAAGAAAATCTCATTCCAACTGTCAAGTTGGCCTTCTTAATCTCTCACAATAAAATAGATGGAAAAAGGAAACAAAAGGAATAATGTATCTTGCTTATTGTTTTTAAAGATTTCAATTCATACCATAGAATGTATTGTCAAAAAGTAGATGCACTAAAAATACTACCTGCTTGAGGCGGATGAAGAATAGGTGGCAAGGATGAAGCTGCTCATGATGCACTGGAATATGGATGAACATACTAATGGTGGTTTCACAGATGCTGGGTGTACAAATCTGATGATAGGTTTTGGGTGACACAGTGTACTTGTTGACCATACAGGTCACAGCAGAAGAGGTGTTATCAAGTAATATACAGCCAGGATGTCAGCAGGATTAAATTTTATACAATTATGATGAACTGAAAAGTGTTTCATAAAACATCAAACTAAATTACTGAATCGGTATAAATGCGACCTGGTACATGTCAGATTGCAGATGTCAGAAGTAGGCCTTTATAGTAGAACATTTTTCTTCATATACATAAATATGTCTATGAGTTCCTGTCTATGTGAGTGAAAAATGGGACACAGAGATCATCAAGGTCTTCAACTCAATCTTACCAATTAATGATTTATTCCCCAAGCAGGAAACAGCCCCAGGACCCTTAAGTGAAGAATGTTGTAGACATCGTGGAGGTTTACAACACAAAAGTAAACTACAGAAAACTATATAAAGAAAAGTGAAGCATAGCAAATGTTTAGTCTCAGATGGGGTGGAAGGAATAAGCAATGTTAACTATTGAGGACATAGGAAGCTTTACATATAGCGTGATTATCAGTTATTCTCCAGTGACTGAGTGGGTAGGCAAAGATGAATTTGGCATTGGCTGTGAGCTAGAAGTGTGTGGGATGGACAACCATAAAACAAAATCTGCTTTCAGGAGGTCTTGGCACAAGCTAGATTTTGGTGGTCTATTCCCATGAGGAGAGCATGGTGAGAGGCAAAGTGTATGCGTGAGAGGCAGAGTATAGATCAAACACTTACATCACATGTGAACCATGGGCTTACCAGAGTTGCATAAAAGCAAATGAAAATAAGCGGAGCTTTATTCTTCTGTTGCTTCTCTGTATTTCCTTCTTCTAAAGAAAACCTAAAAAGTACAACTTCTCCTCTGTCAGAACTTCTCTGAGGAACAACAGATGCTATCCTCTCTGGGTTGAATATGGCTGAAAACTAAGAACTGAGAAACTGATGTCTGCAATGTTGGCCTTTTGTTGTGATACTGGATGTTCTAGCAAGAGATAAATTCTCACAACAGTAAATGTTCCACCCTTTACTAGGGTGAATTCACGGCTTCCACTAGACCCTGTGCATTTAGTAGTAACAGTGCTAACAAGTGGAGTATTGATACTACACAGGTTGAAACCGATGATGAATGAAGCTAATGAAGACATAGGAAAACCTGGCAATAATTTCATCCTTGTCCCTCAACACCTGATCACAGGCCAAATAGAGAAGAAGACCATGTGGAAGATGCTCCCCTAAGTAAAAGAACTTCCAGGTCACACTCACTAAAAGCATTTGGGAGCTGCAGTGAGGAATAACTTGACACATTGCTGCACACTCCTCAGCAGCACACATGGGGCTGTGTGATCAGTGTGTGCACACACGGCTGGTCTTGATCCGATTGAAGATCACATGTTTGTAATTTTTCAGGTAATAGTAGAATAAATGGATTTTAGTGATGGTACCAACGTGCATTGTTTAAATAGTAACTTTCAAAAATAATCTTAATAATTTCAATAACTTTTCCCAAGGTTATTACTACCTTTAAAATCTACACTGATTTTACTTTTTATTCTTTTTCTTCTCTGTAGACTAACTTACCTGTGCTTAAATACAAAAATCTGTTGAATTAAAAAAACAAAACCTACCACAGAATGGGCATACTTTCATTTTATCTTCCATGGGCCCATGAAATGGATTACTATAAAGTAATGCATGTGTGACGCAGCTTCATTTTCCTCTCCCTGACAGCCAACCCCACTGTGCTCAGCATGTGAACTTCAGGGAGTGGAGGGGTAGGGCTGGCCATGGTAACACATGATCAGATTTTTGTTGCTGGTCCATATTCAAACAAGACCCATTACAACAATGAGGTGTACAAGTCATTATGTCGAAAAACAAACTTTACAACTTTGGGGAGGGGAGGGGGGAGAGGAGGGAGGGGTAGATGGGAAGGGGAAACAAAGGAGGAGGCAACAATGTTTGATAAGAAAAGTACTCATTATCTTACCCAAGTAATTGTAACCCCTCTATATGGTATTATCACACACACACACAAAAGAGGAACTGAGATATTCTGGAACCTTCCAGATTCACTCACTTGCTACTTTCAGACATATACCTTTACTTCTCTATGTATTTTTTCACATAACTACTTTGAGGGGGAGGGATAGCATTAAGAGATTAAGTGAACACAAACCCAGTTCCCCTTCATTTGCAATTAACCTCTGAGTGATTTATTTAGACAAGTCAAAGTATACAGTAATACTGGTGAACACTTTTGTTTTAATCTAGAGATTCCTATGAGAAGAAAAACATTTGGCTTTATGCTTAGCTACCTCAGCTGCATAGAATGCTAGTGGCCCTGTCTTACCTAGGGAACTAACGGCAGCCGTGACTAAGCTTTCCTGATGAAATGGACTCAGTCACATAAAATTAACTTTGTCTGTACCTTAAGGCTTGTGACAGTTGTCTCAACCCTCTCCTCAAATGATTTGAAAGTAGGAGAATTCCTAAAATAACAAAGAGAGAGAGAGAGAGAGAGAGAAAGAAAGAGAGGTCAGCTCTAAAGACCTTGCGTCTTAGCAACCATGCTGTTTTGGTTTTCTGCTCCAGAGCTAGCTGTCATCTTGCTACCTATACCAAACATGTTTTTAAAAATGCATTTCACTTCTGCTAAGTTACCTCCAGAAATCAGAACCTGAGATTGAATATTTCTAAGTAAAATGGTTAGACACTCAACTGGACTAAACAAGAGGACATGACTCGACTGTGGCACTCCATAGTGCATTTACTAATTAATTGTTTCTATCACCACATTCCTAATCTTGACTCAGTCTTTTGGTAAGGAATAGAATCTGTCTGAGGCATGCCATATTTGAGTATTTGTATTTTGAATTTTATTTATTTCAGTAAATGTCAGACAAGACAGAAATAGCTCAATGGGAAAAAGATCATAAGGTTTTTATTACCATGCCTTAAAAAGTAATTATTTTGATAACTTACATAAAGTGGTCTTTCTAAAACTTAATGCATTCATTATTTTATGTTGAAGTATACCCATCACCTAATGCCTGATCAAAATGATGTTGATAGAATGTATTGTTTTCCCCCTTAAACAGGAATCATCTATTTTCTTACTACTTGGACTTCACAGCCTATTGGCATTTTATTTGCATTTCATGCATTGTGTTTTATAACCTACATGACATCTTGTTGCTTTAAGAATAAATATTTCTCAGTTGTCAGTGACTGCATTTGTCCACATAACATTTCAAATTAATGTCATCATTTCCTTTGAAAATGATATCACTAAGTTGAAAGAAATAGGAATTGAACTAGAAAAATGTATACTGCATCTTGTATCTGTTAAATCTCCCAATAATTGCCATTCTTTTCAGGTCATTATTTGCATTGTCATTATTTTCATGCAACTCAATGTTATTGTGTTTGAGAAACCATTCTCTAGTCTACCTTGAGTAAAGAAAAAGTAAAATAAGAGGAATGGACCAAGGAAACTGCATATAGAAGCATAACTATAAAAATACAAGCTTGGCCATATGGCGTGGGTTAAAGCATGACTTTAATATTATCAAGAGGTAATTGCCATAGAGAATTTTTTTTTACTCAATTCGGCTTGATTGGGAATTGGGCTCTGAAACTACAACATACCAAATGGCCAAAAATATCCCTGCCATTTAGGCTGCAGGATTAACGATGGTGAGTTCTGAGTACGCAGGAATGACATCACACCTGCAGGTGACGCAAACACTCGCCAAACTAGTTCTGATTATTCATGAAATTATACTAAATGATTCAAAAGCATAAAGCTGAAGCACACCACTCAGGCTTTATTTGACTGTGTCTGCTCACTCACATAACAGCTACTAGTTACACTGTCCCAAAGGGGCAGATAGTTAAGCCTAATGATTCATGGGTATATGTTAGATTAGAGAACTAGTTTTCCTCTCAAAGTCAACTTCAGGAAAACATTTGACCTAAAAACCACTAGATTGATTCCTATTCACAGAACAAGAACCAAGCCACTATTTTCCAGACCTTCTTTGGACACTTAGGTTTTAAATTTGATAATAAAGAAGCTCAGAGTATGTTCATATGCAGTCAATGGTAGGTGGTAGGGGGAGCAAATTATTGGGAGATGAGCTAAGCAATCTTGAATCTGTATCCCCTATTTATCACCAAAGAGCCAAACAATGGTTAAATTTCCTAATCAACTAATTAACCAAATAACCACGGAGTACAAGAGATTTCAGCAGACATAATAGAATAGGCATTCTTGTAACTAAATTATGTTAAGAATGCATGTTGCAGAACAGAGAAAAAAACTTAATCAGATTTAATCAGACCATACCCAACTATAAACTATTAGTATTGCAAATGACTCTAGAAAGAATTTGATTTACATGATCTCCAACTGCTTGCAGTAACTAAACTCTTTCCACATGTATTCAAATCACAAAGTATAAAATAAAGCAGGCATAAGACATATACTTGTGTCTGAATTGGGAGATGGTCCCAGAGGCTTAAGCTAGCCTCCTATCCCAGCAGTGTCAACCATTCCATTGGTGATGAAATCACAAATGTATTTTCACTTTGGCAAGCGTGCTGGGTATCTTTCAAGCCCTGTGATAAGTGCTTCAGACTTAGCCTCTTAGCATCTACATCAAGTAGGTCTTATTTCTTGCAATGTACAGAAAGAGAAGTGGCAGTTGAGATACATCCTTGTCTCTGATCACACAGGAGGATAAGCCAGTGTGTCTGGTCAAATGAATCATTACATTCTCCTATACTAGTGTTAAGACTTTCTTCCTGAAGATGATCAGAAACACCATGGGGCAGAACATGGCACATTAGCAGTTTCTTCTCACAGAAAGTAGGACAGGGGAGAGAAGCTCACAAATAAACACAATAAAGTAATATTTCATATACATCTTGCATTAAAAGTATGTAAAAGATTTTGTACACATTACCTCATGGCAGGCATACTTATGGAATGGCGAATGGAGTACCTTCAGGGCACAAACAGATTAAAGGGGGGAAAAAGAAGATAGCAAATTTAAGTACATAAAAATCTCTTGATTTACAGTTCTAAAATATCAGTTTCTGACATCTAAACTATTTTCTGCTCACCCAACCAAGATGATTATTTGTTTTCCTTGGGCATGGGAGGGGTGGGCATGGTCAACTTCCAAAGGATCTGAAGACAGAGCAGGTGGTCCACAGTCACATACTATTGTACTTCCTGAGAATATGTGGTGTCCCCTCTGGTCAGCCCAGTGGCCCACAGACATCATCTCCAAGTCCAACGTGTGTCTCACTCCTTTCTGATCAGAAAGGCAGCCAGGCACAAAGGTTAGTACCCAGGAAGTGCAGCCCAGCAAGTGGAAGCTATTCCTTTCATGGTAGAGCAACTGACCTTTGGAATGTAGGAAGCATTTGTTCAAAGAAGCATATGCAACTAACACAAGTCACACAGCCCAACATGAAGAAAGCTCTTCCTCACTCATTCGGGTTTGATTGTCAAGAACACATAGCTTAAATGTAAATGTTCTCGAGAATTTTGAGAAATGTATCCTCTTCATTGTAGAATAGCAGGCTCACCACCGCTCTACTTGCCTGCTGTTTTTCCACTGTGTCCCAATGAAGGATCAGGCAGGGCATAGGGAAGAAGCAAGGAGTCAATTTTCCTGGGCTGGTGTTTGCTCTCCTATCCCACTTTTCAAATTGGTCCCTGCTTTCTCTAATCCCCCAAAGCTAAAAGATCATGGGTCAAATTGGCCATCCTCTCCTAATAATACCCACTGATACTTGGCAGCATTTTACCCAAACGAAGTAAGAAAAGGACAAAGAAACTCAAAGGTTACCAGTCTTATGCAAGACACTATATATAGAAATTACACTCAGAAGATATTGTTAAAGGAAATCTACCATTACAAATACATTCATCTAATTGCCAACACATTTTTAGGGGAAAAAATTTGAAGTTCATAATAAGATCCTAGGTAGTTTAATCCAGACATTGGCAAACTTCGCAACACATGCATTTCCCCAACAAACGTTCTTCCAACTCCAGAAACATCAACACACTCCAAAGAGATTCTGAGAAATTCAGAAACTAGAGAAATGAAGTTTCTGTTTCTCACCTTCACTGTGTAGAAGTTTAGAACAAAAACAAAACCCACACTACTCTTGATTTCCACATTGTTTCCAAGGATCTAAGGATCTTGCCGATGAAGAAACGATGAAGAAAGAGATTTCTAAGAGATTTCTTGACAAGTGAGGTTGGTAGACAGAGTTCAGAAATTAAATATGTGCTTAAATAAGCTCAAACATAACAGCTATCTTATAACTAATTCCTTGCCTCCATTTACATTCTCTGAAATATAGTCCAGTGTTTTTGCGGGTGGTTGTGTGAAGAAAAGCAGGGAGGAGTGTGAGCCACAGATCTGCCCACACAGCCACAGGCACAAAACCACACAACCATACAACCATGAGGAGCTTACCCAATAGAGTGAGACCTGCAGCCAGGCAGCATGGGAAAGAAGAGCAGGGGCAGAGTTAGCATACAAGATTCAAAGAAATGACCATCTTGCCCCTTGTCCCCTTTCAAGAGCTCAGAAGGACAGATGAACTGGCTCCATTCACCCCTCTTTTTTGAGAACATACTTGGCCCCTTGAATCTACGAGTTGCTGGCTGGTTCTAGGATCCCCTGTGGATTCTAAAACCTGTGGATGCTAAAGTCTTTATGTAGCTACCTAGTGTGTTATGTATGTATAACCTGCACACCTACTTTAAACCATGTCTAAATTACATAGACTATCCAACATAAGGTAAATGTTACATAAATTTTATATCACATTGTATAGGAAATAAAGCAGCATACATAAAAATCTGTACACAATACACATGAAAATTTTAAAAAATATTTTTAACCCACAGTTGATTGGATTTATGGATGTAGAACTCATGTATTTGGCTGGCCAACTATACTGACTAATTTGGCTTTGAGAAGTTTTTAGTAATGTATTATAATTTTTGCTTCTAATCATTTTCCCATGTTTATAGCAATATTCAGACTCTAATTAAACATTTGGCTCCTCCAGATAGCTCATCCCTACTGGATCATAATCTGACAAATTTGCTATGAGTTACAGAGAAGATTCAGAAAATTCTGATAGCTTGCATTTCTTCAGTGTACCCTGCATTTAATGTGACTTCACTGCATTTCATGGTTGAACATTTTGGTGAGGTAATGCATATTACCAATGCTATTCCACAGATGGCGAAAGAGACCAGGGGATGATGCCACAACCATTCCCAGGTGACATCTCATGGCCGTCAGGTTTAGATGAGAACCTTACTTTAAGAAACAGAGCCTGATTTTTAATAAAATATGTAAATTGATGATGCTTTTTATTCTGTTACTTAAAAGGCCTGCATTGAAGGTTTGTGATTTTTATTCATTTAGAAGTATTTTAACGAAGAAAGTATTGTTTTTCTTCTAAGGAATCTAATGATTATCTGATCATCTTTTTGGAAAGGTTCAGAATTTTATTCTCAAATGTTCCAAAGAAATGTATAGGACAATTAATACAAAACATAGGATAACTTGATGCTTTACATCAAAGAAGGATTTAAAGTATAACATCTGTGCTAAATTTTCATCTTCCCACTGCCATTTTATAAATCAGCATGCTAATTAGAGCAAAATGTCAAAACATAATAATTTTTTTCACTTAGGAGTCTACTAAATTAAAAGCAATTTAAAAATAACTTGTTTGAGATGAATTTAAAACTAAAAATTATTTGTAACAGTGCTTGTCTTCAGGGAATTGTCACAGACACAAATGTTAGAAAGTATAGTTTGGGATAAAAATAAAAATATGTTTCCGAATTATTTTAGCTCCACAGAATAATTTAGAACTGAAGTTGAAAGTCTAGGGACACAGGTTACATTTTCAAGTGAAAATGTGAAATGTGAAATGTCCACCACAGCTTTGTATATTTGATGCTTGGTCCACAACTAGTGACTCTATTTTGGGAGGTGGTAGAAACTTTAGGAAGTGGAGACTAGCTGGAGAAAGCAAGTGATTAGGAGCACGACTCTGAAGGTTACACCAGGTCCTCAGTCCCTCTCCCTCTGCTTCCTGTATACCATCAGATGAACAATCGGCTCCCACCGCCATGATGCTCTGTTCACCATTGGCGCTCAATTAAGCACTAATGAATTGAGCACTGAACATTCTGTAAACTTTATCCCAAATAAAGCATCCCTCCTTTTAAATTGTTCTAAGTAGTACTTCAGCATGGAAATGAAAAGTGTTGCTGCTACAGAAAATTGGTACCATTGAAGTGAGGTCGTTGCTGTGACTCAACCTCACAATGTAGTTACTAACTTCTTTGTTTAGGGGGGGGCGCAAGTTGGGAAAGTTTGAAACTATGGGATAGATTTGCCCTAGAATGTTATAAATACTAGAATGATAATAGAAATGAGGACATTAGAGAACACTTCATGAAGTTTCAGATGGGAATGAAGACTGTACTAAAAATTGAACTGGCTTACCGAGGCTATCTGTATTTTGTTTGTGTCTTGAGACTGTGAGAGGCTGCCTTTAAAAGTAACAGTCTGATTTTTTTTCTAGTTATTCTATTATTCCTTCCTTTGGGACTGGGAGTATTTATTCTGTCATCATTGTGTCCTGGAAGTATGTGACTTTCATTTTGATTTTACAGGGGTTCATAACCTTGCGTTTCAGAAGAGGCTTTTGACTTGGATTTTTGAACAATGTTGGAACTGTTCGGATTTTGGGAACTCTGGGAGATGGACTAAATGCATTTCGCATTATGATGAGATGGCCAAGTACCTTTGGGAGCCAGGAATGGGATGTTAAAGTTTGAATATGGAAATATCCTCTACAGGCTATTTTGGGAAGTGGTAAAAATTTTAGGAGTTGGGGCCAACCAGAGGAAGTAGGTTACTAAAAGACATGTCCTTGAATATTATACCAGATCCTTAGTTCCTTTCTCTCTTTCTGCTTCTTTTTATTTTTAACTTTTTGTGCCAGTCCTGGAGCTTGAACTCAGGGACTAGGTACTTCCCCGAGATTCTTTGGCTCAAGGCTTAGTGCTCTACTACTTGAGCCACAAGGCCACTTCTGGCCTTTTCTGGCCAGTCCTGGCTGTCTTCAAACTGTGACCCTCAGATCTCAGCCTCCTGAGTAGCTAGGATTACAGGCGTGAGCCTGCTCCTTGTCTACCTCAAGATGATTCATCCCTTCCACTATCATATCTGCTTTACCAGGAGCCCAGAATCAATGGAGCCAGGGATTATGACTGAACCCTGAAAAGGTGTGCAAAATAAATCCTTTTCCCCTTTAAGATGTTTTGCTCAAGTGTTCTGTTACAGCAACAAAAACAATAACAAGTATGTTGTATATTCTATGGAGAACATTAATGAAAAGTTTAAAACTTGAAGAAAATGAGCTTATCCCATTTGTGTGAAAACAAAACAATGTTAAATCAGGAGAAATGACAACTAATACAGCCTGGACAGTATCTTGAAATAATGTGTGAATGTGAATATACCATCTAATTGCATATCTGTAACATAGTCTTCATTCAATGACTGAAGCCTTAATAAAGTAGAGCGACCTCTGGATAATGGGCACTTCCTAATTTCTTTCATGTGGCTCACCTTATAATGGAGATCATCACTTAATAAAGATAAAAACTAACATTCATTCAAAATGTGATACATGCCAGGCTCTCTTTGACCACTTTTGTAATAACTCAATGACATTTTTTTAAATGTCAGAATTGAATTCAGGGTTTCACTTAAGCAAAACACACGCTAGATCAGGGTGATACACACCCAGCTCACTGTTGTACTCTTATTTCTGTTTTATAAACAAGAACCAAGATACAGATGATATGTTTCATTTATCCTCTTAACCTGCCCTCCTGAAGCCCAGTTTCCTAGGAGTTAGTTTCAAAGCCAGGTTTTCTGGAAGCAAGTTTCTAGGAGCAGATTCCTAGAGTACTACCACCAAAGCCCCACTAAGGAAAAACCACAGAGAGGTATATTGAATGAGCTTCAGAGGTAGCTGGAAGGGGTCCTTACAGATGGAGAAATTCTTCTGGGAGGCAGTATTATATGATAATCTCAGTGTTCAAGTGAAAAATTTAAGCTATATGTACAGAAAATTTTATAAACATAGCAAATTATAATTCCTCAGATATCAACCAGTAATATGGTTTTTCCTATTGTTGTTTGTTTTCTCCTTTCTTCCTTTTTTCCTTCATTCTTTCTCCTTCCCTCCCTCCCTCCTTTCCTTCCTATCTTCCTTCTACTCTCTTTCTTTCTTTTTTGAGCCAGTACTAACTAGGGCTTGAATTCAAGGCCTTTGGGTTCTTGCTTGGCTTTTGTTTTGCTCGCCATACCTCCACTTCTGGCTTTTTGTTTGTTAATAGGAAATAAGTTTCTAGGTTTCACCTGCCCTGGATGACTTTGAACCAGGAGCCTCAGATCTCAGCCTCCTGAATAGCTGGGATCACAGGTGTATAGTATTGGCACCAGCTTGGTCTTTCCTATAGTAGGGGACTGCTTAGTAAATTTATGTAAGTGATTTAATGCCACTGGTATGACTTGCAAGTTTCCTTGTAATCAAATTAGGAGTAACTAATAATTTAAAAGGTTAACATCATCATAATTTCTCAAAAAAAATCAATTGCTGTGATAACACTGTATTAGTAAAAATGAAAATAAAGCAATGCACTTATATTGATGCATGTCCTTAACTGTAAAAGTCTTCTGAGGGATATCAACCAACTTCAAAATAAGTTAACATTTTTAAACAAGCAAAAGATATGAGAGTAAAAACTAAACAGGATAACTTCACTATATAAAACCTAAAATGGCAATAAAATATTTCTGTTATCTACAGTGAAGATATCTGGTTGAAAATTACTTTGTGTTCATGGTAGTTTTAGGCAATAGTGAAATGCTGAAAATAACTATAATGTGGAAGATACTTATTTAAAAGATTTGCAAACACGATATACAGGATTGGGTCATTAAAAATGAAGATGTAAGCTGGGCACCGGTGGCTCACGTATGTAATCCTACCTACTCAGAAGACTGAGATCTGAGGAACATGGTTCAAAGCTAACCCATGCAGGAAAGTCCATGAGACGCTTATCTCCAATAAACCACTCAGAAAACCAGAAGTGGCATGTGGTTAAAGCTGTAGAGCACTTGCCATGAGCTGAAGAGTGCAGGGACAGAGCCCAAGACCAGAGTTCAAGCCTCACGACCAACCAAAAAAAAAAAAGTTGTAAAAAAAAGAACTATTTGCAATAAATAAATTGCTAAATAAATAACTAAATTTCTAAAGAAGAAATGAGTAGAAGAAAAACCCCAATGGTGTCTTTTTAAAATGAAATGTAAGTGTTTTGGTATTTAGCACAGAAAAAACAACAGATAATTGTATTAAAAAATGTAACCTAGAAGAGTTTACCACAGCATATTCCACTGAATACATACATTACTTTCTCCTTTAAACCAAGCCTAAAAACCAGATGCCAGTGGCTCATGTCTGTAATCTTAGCTACTCAAGAGACTCTTTCTCCACTGAAACATCAAAAAACCCAAAAAGGCGCAAAGTAGTATAGTGCTAGCCTTGAGCATAAGAGCTCAGAGGCAGCACCAAGGCCTTGAGTTCAAGCCCCACCACTAACAACACCTAAAACAAACAAACAAACAAAAAACCACCAAGACTAAAAAGATCAGAATATGCTGCTTTTTTTTATCCTCTTTAACCTCAATCTACTTTAACTAGTAGAAAGGATACCTTTCGGAATAGGGCCCTTGGCTGACCAGGCGGAAAATGTCTTAATATAATCTTTTAGGTTTGGCACCAATTAAGACCATTTTTAGCCAACAAAGATAAGACCACCAATCACAGGCAATGCTTCTTTGACAGGATTCTGTGGGTCTTTCCCATATACCTCATGTCTCCAAACTTCTTGCTGATGGCTGTCCCAACATTGCTGAAAGCTGCAGTTGCCTTCTGACCTGCGTGACTCAGGGTTTCGTGTGTTTTCTTGTAGCTAGAAGAAATAGAGAACCATGGTAAGCAATACTGTCCAAGTAAACATTCATCTTCCTTCTCTCACCTCTTCTTTCTTTGGAAATTACCTTTTCTAAACAGACTTAGGAAGAAAAATGAGTGATTTATAGAAATCACTGCATGGGGATGACAGGCGGATGACTATTGGTCAGAAAGAGAGTCAGGACATTAAATCTGAAGAATTTACATACATAATCCCAGACATGAATATGTAGATCTTCATCACAAATAATGGAACTGAGAAGACAGTATTTTTGTTTTGACTCTATTTTTTTTCTTGAAAATATTTATCAAGTTTGTATCTTGGTATTTATAATGCTATCCACACTTAATCTCCTATCTTCACTATCTTGAATAGCTCCCAAAGACTGCTGAATAAAGTCCAAATCCTGCATCTAATATTCTAGGTTGTCTATATTTTAGCCATAGTTCAGCCTCATTTCCTACTGTGATCCCAGGCATACCTTGCTCTTGATACTCATTAAACAGATCTCATAGATTTCCTACCTCTATGTTTCTATCATAATACTAATTCCACATTGAGTAAACTCTATCCATCCTACCTCTTGAATTTCTTCTTAGACTGAGCTTGAATATCCCATTCTTATGAAAATTCTCTGAAGTATCTTTCAGTTTCCCTTCCTCTAAATTTTCACAGCACGTTCACACAGGACTTCTAATATGCTTGTTATTATTATTTATTATTAAAATACTTTTTATTACCTTTAAGTAGCCGCACAAAGGAGTTGCTATTCAACAAAACAACTTATGAATATAATGCATCTTGATCAATGTTACTAATTTGAATTTTCTCACTCAACCTCCTGAACCTACACTTTCCTCATTTTTCTTAATCTTGTAGGATTTTAGATTGCATTGTTCCCAATCTTCTTCTCTTCATCTAATTCCCTCCCCTTGATCTCAACCTGTTCCTTTCAAATACCTATTTCCTGGTGTTTACTTGGTTGACCTTTTGATTTAGCTTTTCTGAGGAATTACCCTATTTGAGTTCTCCCCTGAAGCTACCGTATTTCTATTAATACATTTGTGTATACTTGCATACTATACTTTGTAAACTAATTCCCACTTCCACATATGAGAGAATGGATGTAACCTTTGTTTCTCTGGGCCTGACTTGCTTCACTTAACACAGTTTTTGCCAGCCAGGTCCTTCCAATTTTTTTTTGCAAATAATGTAAAATCAGTGTTTTTAAAGGTAAGTATCAATGGTACAAACAGACATTTGCAAATGATAGCTGTGTCTACCAAAAGTAACCATAGGTTTTGAAGGGAAACAAAAGCTTGTGTTATTAATTTTGTTAAAAGGAAGTAGAAAGAGTAGAAATACAACTAGTTACTTAACTTGTAATTTTAGTGTATATAGCTGGGAATAATAATGACACATAATAATATAGTGACAGTTTAAAAAACACTTTAGGACAGTAATATAGTGACTTTGTTTAGATCCTGTGGTCTTGCTACAAAGACTGTCACTACTCAAGGGCAAGCAAGTGATTCATCTTTGTGTCTCCATCATCTGGCAGAATGCAGGAGAAACTCCATGAATAACTAGAATGAATGAATGGATGAGATCAAAAAGATGATCCTTTGACTCCAAGTGAGAGTAATGACATCAGGAAGAGAAAGAAGTGTAGAAGATTATAGGTAGAATGCATAGACTTTACAAGTGACTATAAATGACAAGTAAGAAAATAAAAATCATTGTCCTCCAGCAATTCCACTTTTGGGCATTTACCCAAATGATCAAACAAGGTCATACCAAAGCTACCAGCACAACCATGTTGATTGCAGCATTATTTACCACAGCTAAGGTATGGAACCAACCCAGATGCCCCTCAGTGGATGAGTGGATCAAGATAATGTGAGAGAGATATATATCTATGTATATATATATATATATATATATATATATATATATATATATGAATTCTGTGCCTCTGTCAGAAAGAATGACATTGCCTCTGGGAAATGACATTGCCCCATTTGTTAGGAAATGGAAAGACTTGGAAAAAATTATATTGAGTGAAGTAAGCCAGGCCCAAAGAAACATAGATCCTATGGTTTCCCTTGTTTACAGTGACTAGTACATGTCTAGGACAAGCAGAGAAGGTCAAAGGCTATGTACATACGACCACATGAGATAATGTTAAGCAAAATGTACCCCAAGACAGGGACACAGAGGTTTTTTTTTCTTTCTTGCTAGTGTTTTTAATGTATTTACAATGCACTATGTGATTCTTTTGTTTCTTTTGTAGGTTCTTCCCCCATGGTATAACCCCTGTTTTCACTGGATTTGATGCCTGTGTTCTGCATCTCATATATTCATTTTTGTAATTTGGGGAGGGGAAGGGATATTGCAGAACACTTAAATGGGGATGCTGGCTGACTCATTGTGATGATAAGACGTACAGGACACTATACTGAAAACAAATGTTACAATGTCGGGGTGGGGAGTGGGATGAGTTGGGGAGGTGGGGAGGAAAGTGATGGTGGGAGAAAATAAAGGAGGAGGTGACAATGCTCGCTGTGAAGTGCACTCATTACCCTATTCTGTAACCCCTCTGTCCAACATTTTTACAATAAAAAAATTGCAAAAAAATCATTGTCCTGCAGCTTTGAACATGATGATAGGAAGGATTGTGATGCTATCCATCTGGACAAGAAATTTCTAAGAGTTCATGAATAAAGTCAAGGATCAAGGATAACAGATATAAAGCCCAAGGAATCAAAAGCAATGAGCAAAAATTTGGAAAGATTTTAAAAATAGATTCATCTTTATGATATACATACTGTTTTCTTCCACTTTATGGTGCCCCGAGGTTCATTGCCTCAAATCCTCCTGAAGCCTATACCAGTTTCATGAAATGATTTCAAATCACATGCAATCAGCTATGAAGGAACTTCCTTCCCTGAAACTCCTTTCCTTTCCTACAGTCCTACAGTCAGTCACTCAGTCTTAAGTATACTATCAGACCCTGGCAAATGCATTAATACACACACATTCCTTGGCTTTCCCAAGATCTGAAATCACTTTAATGATAGGCTATCTTGTTAGGCTCTTTTTGTTAACAGGACCAAGTGAACTTATACCATAAAACACCATATATTATTTATTCACACAATGCCTGGTTTTCAGTTCATATAAAATATATATTATCTATATCATATAACCAAAATTAAATACACAAAATCAAATACACACACCTAACTTGCTGTTTATAAAGGGCAGTTAGCAAAGCTTTAAATGTTAAAGCTGAGAAGCCATCAGATGATAATGAGGCATGATTATGAAATGCCATGTGCTGAGAATTCTTCACAAGGGACAAGTTATTCAACAGGTCCCCTAGCAGCATCCAGAACATTTCAATCAATGAAGATCACTGTCTTTAAAAATGTGTGGTTCTGGGGCTGGGCAGTTGGCTCAGTGGTAGAGTGCTTGCCTTGCATGCCTGAGGCCCTGGGTTTGATTCCTCAGCACCACATAAGCAAAAAGAAAAAAGCCGGAAGTGGCGCTGTGGCTCAAGTGGTAGAGCGCTAGCCTTGAGCTGAAGAGCTGAGGGACAATGCTCAGGCCCAGAGTTCAGGCCCCACAACCGGACCAAAAAAAAAAAAAAGTGTGGTTCTAGCCTTAAAAATAGAGGATTTATTTACAAAAAATAAAGAAAATTCCTGTATTCCTATCCTAGTTACATTTCTAAGATAGTGACAAGAGTATTCACAAAGTAGCCATTGGTTTAGGAGAGCAGTTCTAGAAAAGTGCATTGAAAACTGAAATCAGTGCATGTAGAAGTGAGCAAAGCACAGCAGAGATGAAATGTATTCATACCATATGGCCTGAGGTTTGGAATTAGGCTCCCTTCTTTGCTCCAAATCCATCTCCCTTTTTACCTTCCCCAAACATAAAGACAATAGCAAAAAAAAAAAAAAACCAAGAAAGCAAAGGCATTTGTATATGTTTTTAAATTCTCTCAAGGCTAGATACACAAAAGACTGTCAAGAACAAGCATGACAACAAACCCTGCACACAGATGCTGCCCTGACCTGCTTCTTCTTTATTCTTGGACTCTTTCTAGAAAGATCATGTGAGTTAGCCATGTCATTATTCCTACATATTGGGTCAGGTCCTATTCCAGTTTGAATCCAACTGCAGAGTAGAATATGCCCAAATCTTCATTAACATACCATAGACTTTCTTTTCTTTATACATCAAACTAAATAGGTCATGATGGCTTAATCAGAATGCAAAGTATTGCAGCTGTGAATCATGCACATCTAGTGCTTTGAAATTCTATCCAACTAACCTGGCCACAGCTCATCGTTCCCTCATGTCCAAATAGATATTCTTTAAAAAATTTTTTTATTGGAAAGATACTTTATAGAGGGTTTACAGTTACATGAGTAAGGCAATGAGTACATTTCCTATTGAGTATTGTTCTTTTATCATGAGAAGTATAAATCTCATCTTGGAATGGAAGTCATAAAAACTAACAGAGCCAGAATGTATATCATTCACAGAGATAAAGATTTTGTTCTCAAGGCTGGGAAGGTGTCTCAGTGGTAGAAAGCTAGCTAGCTTTGAGCTGAAGAGCTGAGGGACAATGTCCAGGCCCAGAGTTCAGGACCCACAACCGACAAAATAAAAAAAAAGACTTTCTTCTCACTCCTCCCAAGATAGGATTAAGACCCCCCTCTTTCCTTTGTACTCAGGGGGAAAAAAGGGAGAAAGATCCTTTCTTGAATTTATGTGATTGATAGACTTACTCAAGAAAACAGACTGATTCTTCCCTACTAGCAAAAAGTAGTTCATTGAGTCTTCATTTCTATCACATAGGAATGGGTATGGTATCAGTTCAAGGATGCAGCTAAGCCTCAATTTCAACCCAGGCAATCAAGTATTTTAGCCCACAGGCTTAATCACAACCACTCTCATTTCAATAAACATCACTAACAGTCACCAAGCAGGCCAAGCAAAGACTTCAGAGTCATCTTTGATTTCTCATCATCCACTTCCGGGCCACTTCCAGGAAGTTCTGTGAGACTGACTTCCAAATTCTACCCTATTTGTCCACAACTCTCCCTCACATCCTCACCTACCTGAAATAGAACACTTATCACCTAAGTGATTTTCCAGTTTCTACTACTCATACCTCTCCACAATGCATTGCACAAAGTAACCAGAGTGATCTTTTGAAACGTCAGTCAGAAATCATCACTTCCAGTAGCGTTGAAAGCTCTGGGAATAAAATTCTCACTAAGGAACCCCAGAGGCTGAGACCTCATTCCCTTGACTAATTTCTCCACACGAGAGATTTTATAAGCTAATTCTCACCTCAGGCTCTTTGAGCAACTTTCCCTCAGTTGGAAAGCTCTCTACCAGATCATTCATAGTTTTTTGACCTTATGGATTTATTAGAATGTAACCCCTAGGAAATTGTGCATCCATATATATGAAGAACAGTGTGCAATGCATTGCAGGAAATACTTCAGGATTTACGTGGTACATAAGGCAAAGGCATGTGTAGAAAATTCGAGTTGTGCTCACTCACAGAAAGGCCAAGTCTTATGAAGAGACATGGACGGCACAGACTTCCAAAAGCATTTTCTGTTCCTCAGTGGTGAAAACCAAGGTGCCCAGTTTGTTTCTCTACACTTGGCAAGACACAATTCAGAATCATAAAGATCACTAATGTGACAGACTTCTATTGCTCTAGAATGAAGTTTCCCTCAGCTTCATCACTTCACCCATCTAGATATTCCCTAGATATTCTTTCTTGCCACTGAGCCTCAGCTAAGCCACTCACAATAGGATTTCTGTGTCTGGGGCTGGATCTCAGAAGCTTTGACCCTCTCTGGCACATCACCCTATGCTGTTGTCACTACAGAACTTGCAAGAATATCTTCCTGTCTCCATTGCATTTCTTACTTCCTGTTCTTTCCTCTTTTAATAGGGAATCATGTAGGAATCTTGTCCACCTTTGTTGAATCCTATTATCCTTCTGGACTAGATTTACCTCAATATAAATAATGCCCAATAATAGGCACTCATTAAGGCTTCTTGATAAATGGCTGGGTAGGATCTCTTTATGGCTTTCTAGTCCCTGTGTATGAAGAATAACTGAGGCCAAAGCATCAGTTCAGAGCCTCTGTACCTGCCTTCTAGCTCAACACCATTGATGAACTGGATGCTTTCCTTAACAGAAGGAACCTTCTCCCCTACCTGGGCCTTCACTGGATTGTGTCATCCCCCCAGAAAATTCCACTTTCCCCTCTTGTCCTGATTATATTCTGACTCCTTCAGAGCTCTGCTTACACAAGAAACCTTCCCTAGGATTCAGGCACTACTCCTTTCCCTCCTTCTCATTCTCCTAATATGCTGTATTTTCTTTTTTCACAGTTAAAATCATTTAACTCACGAACAAAACAAAACTGTCTTCTTGATGATACTGTAAGGTTCATTAGCACAGGGAATCAATCTGCTATGTTCACCTATCCAGAAGCTTTATTCTCAGTAGACTCCCAATTTGTTTCTCAAACATGGGAAAAGGCAAATGTTGTATTCTTCCCTGTAGGAAGAGGCCAGAAGTCATTGGTGAACTTGCCTTGTGCTCACCCCATGTTCCAGGATGAATATGCTTCTGGCTGCTTCCTGTCTCCATCAGACCTATCATAATGACAGAACCTTGCACAGATATTTTCTGTTCTCTCACGATTCCTTTAGAAACGCAGTATCCCTGTCCCCATTTGGAGGCCTTCTTGCTGCTGTTAGATTAGGGAGGCCAAGTAGAGATATCCTGCCATTCTTTTGCCAAAAGGAAATTCAGATCAATGTAACAATGAAACCTAGAGACCTGAATTAAATGCAAAAGCAATCAGACCCAAGGAACTTGAGGTTGTTCAGCCTCACACTGTCAGGGCTACTCATCGGTATTAGCCACAAAAGTGCACATGTGGAAAGACACAAATCAGTGACAAATAAGCTTATTTAAACTAGGGCCTAATAGTCAGCAATCCTTCTCAGGATGGTTCATAATATGATGTAATATAGACCTTAAACGGGTGCACATAGATTGTAATTGTCAGGTTGGGGACAGTTGCTTAGCCCTCAGAGATAAATGTATGAACTCCCTAGCTATATTCCTATCTTACTCTAGACTGTGCCCTGACTCTGCCCATGGGATCCTTTGGGTACACAGAATAGAAGCCCAGAGAGCAGCAAGGTGAGGAAAAATTCTCTGTGCACATGGAAACCAAAGAAGCCACCCTTCAGAGACCACAGGCTCCTCATAGACCAAAGGCCTTGGATGTTAGTTCTTAGGAATCAGCAGGCAAAATTGGCCTCCTGAAAAATTGAAATAATCACTGTCAAATCTGTGGTATCTTTATGCTCAGGTAAAAAGTACTTCAAAGAGGAAAATTGTTTCTCATATAGGTATTAAAACACTGTTTTCACACTCCAATGAATGGAAATAGGAAAGAAAAGGCATAATCTGAAGACAAAAATTTCTTGATGATGGAATGTGGGCTAACATTAAGATCCAGGAAAGTTCTCCATCAACCTCTAACCCTTAACAACCAACCAACTAAAAAATCTCTCATATATATGAGAACTTTCTTCCTTTTGGAACAAGAATACTTGACAGGAAAATATTCAAATAATTAGAAAAAATAAACATATAAGCTACAAAGCTCCATAGTCTGAATGGAATTAAGAGTTTTAGCAAAAAAAAAAAGTTTTATTGTATGAAGTTTTCTTTAGAGTTGGCCTAATTTGCACTATTTTTAGCTACACTGGGACTTGAACTCAGGGCCTCACACTTGCTAAGGCATGTGTTCTAACACTTGAGCTAAGTCCCCAGTCCTGATTTGCAACATATTTTAATGATGAGTCAAAGCTCTACTTCTGTTTTAGAGATAATATGTTTTCCTCGCTCCAAGGAAGAAATCAGCCTTGTAATTAAAAATGAACAACAAAGCTAAGGAGGATAAAGAGATAGCAAGCTACCCAAACTTTTAAAGCGTTGCGTTGCTGTCCTCACACTTACGCAGTAGTGGTTTGCATGTCATGCCAGCTTTTGCTGAAGTTCTGCTTTAATTCATTCATCAGATTCATGCCGAGCTTTTGTTTGATCTCCACCAGATGTCTTTCTTTTGCTGACAAGACTTGTCTTAAGGTCGTAATTTCGTCTTCTAGCTACAGGTAGGAGAAAAAACAGTGAGGCAAAATGTCAGACGGGATGAAGAGTGCATTCCCAAAAGCTAAGTATATGCAAGAGGTCTGCATAATCTTAGCTCTGGTATCACCAAAAGTTTCTTCTACACCTATGATACTCTAATAGCAGAAGCTAGAAATAGAAGTTTTAGCCTTTGTTCTTATAAAAATAAACAGTACTCCTTGTAAAACGAATTCAGATTGTGCTAGGTGTGGCAGTACATGCTTGCATTCCCAACACTCTGGAGGTCAAGGTAGGAGCATTGCAAGTTCCAGGCTAGTCTGAGCTACACAGGGAATCTCTGTCTCTAAAACAAAACAAAATTCAGATTACATGGCAAAATTTGAATAAGAAAACAAAAATTAAAACCACTGTAACCTATTAGAAAATAGCCACCATTTTTTCCTGGTTTTTATGTATCCAAATTGTCTAAGGGTGTACATAAAATAGCTTTTGAACAAAATTGGTTTTGTAATACACATTTTACTTTGTAATGCAATTTCTTTCATTCATTCATATTTGTTTACTTCTGCCAACCACAGATAACTATGCTGGTATGCAAATAAATTTGGTTGGCATTATGGTTTATCTAAGTTCAAGAAAGGAGAGCAGGATATGTGTAAGGAAATGATTTGGATGACTTTTTCTTGAACAATTTCATGGACATATAACAGACTGTATATATTTGAACAATTTCATGGACAAATAACAGACTGCATATATTTGGAATCTATCATTTTTAAATTTTGACATGTTTATCTACCTGTGCAGCCATTATCATAATCAAGGCAATAAACATAGATATCATCTCCCAAAGTGCTCTTTGTAATTTCTTTCTCTCTTCTTCCCCTAACCTCTACCCTTAACAGGTGCCAATGACATTCTTTCACTAGAATTGATTTAGCTTTTCTTTCGGCAATACTGGTTTTTGAACTCAGGGCCTTGTACTAGGTGGGCTGGTATGTTATCACTTTAGCCACACCTCCAGCTTTGATTTTTGCTGGTTATTTTTGAAGATGGGATCTAGTAAACTTTTCTGTCTGCACTGGTTTCCAACCTCAGTCCTCCAGATATCAGCCTCTGGACTAGCTAGGATTACAGATGTGAATGTGTGCCCATCTTCTCTATAGTTTAGTTTATGTAACAATGAAAAAATAAGCAAAGTGGAGCATGTATGGTCACTAGAATATTATTCAGCCATAAAAAGAAATAAGGAATAAAATAAAATTAAAAAAAAGAAATAAGGAACTGACAATGCTATAATATAGATGAAGTTTAAAAGCATTAGGTTAAGTGAAGGAAGCCAGACAAAAGAGGTCACATATTATACAACTTCATTTATCTGAAGGACTCAGGAGAGAGAACTCCACAGAGACAGAATGCAGACTGGTGGTTGTCTGAAACTGGAATTGGGATAGAAAGCAACTGCTAAGTATGAGTGCTTTCCTTTTAGGGAGACAAAATTCATGTTTTGGAACTGGATTCAGGCTGTGGTGATACAATACTGTGTGTTCATTCACTTTGAAATAGTTAATTTTAAGTTAAATAAACTTATCCTGATATAAACACAAAAAGCAAATTAATTGAGCTGAATTAGACAATAATCATTAGATCATTAGATAATAATTATTAGATAGTTATTTAAATAATAATCTCATCATTAGTCTAATCTATTATCTAGTTAATGAATTAAATAATTCATTATATCAATTATAATAATTCATAAATGTACATTTATGTTGTAAACAGAAAATTTATGATTTTGTTTTATCTATGAGACTACATGAAATCTGTAACTAGAACCCAGAAGAAATGTTGTGATTAAACTGATCATCAGTACGATGTTTAGCATTTAGTATATTACAAGTACTGTCCAAAGCTTTCCTTTTTCTGGCTACTCTTTCCTTTGAGTTTCAGTCACTAAGAACTAAAATTAAAGTTAAGGTCTCTTTGCATTAGCCATACGGATAAAAAGTAATGAGTGAACTGTTCACTCTCACTTCAGAAAGAACACAAAGTCTTCAGAAAGGAGCTGAGAAAGGCCCAGAATATAAGTCAACTTTGCAAACCTAAGAGACAGCAGCTTGAGAGCATTGTGTGTTCTTGGGGAATCTCACACTAAATGAAGAGGAAAGAGCCAAAAGAGAGACTGAGGAAGCTTGAACACAGGGTTGCCTATTTGATGATGCTGTCTGGTATTTTTCCTGCTCCTATTAATACCTATTTTTCTTGAGTCATTTTATCTAGGGGGCAATGACAGCATTAGATTGTTATATAATCACATCTGACATTTTTATGCCAATACTTCATCTTTTCTGAAAGCTAAGACACAATGTGGAATGCAGCTTAGTGTAATTGAAGTGGATACGGAATGACAGTCTTGCAGAATTATTGATCAAGTTTATTTTAAGCATTAGAAAAATTAGACATTTAAAAACCAGAAAAGCAGCCGGTAATAAAACAGAACAAATATTTGAAAGAGAACAGTACTTTCTGATAGACTGATAAGATTTATTTTAAAAAATGCATATTTTACTTCTGGTATTTGTAAGTCCAAATATGTGGTTAAGCAGCAAAACAAGCTAATTACAGGAATGTACATGAGGCATGACCACAGTGAGCTGAAGATCAAATTGGGTTAAAAGAGACTAATCTGAGGCTGAATTCACTCAAGACAAAGTTTCTGACACGTCTTTATTGTGTTTGGTGGTATCTCCCACCAACAAAGGCAGGCAAACAATAGACTGGCCTCTGCAGAAAGCTTGTCCTCACGTGGCTAACAGACCCAGAACATCTCTGCTTCAGAGAGGATTCACCTTTAACCAGGGGCCCAGGCACAGTATCTGTAAGATTGAGACACAGGGGCTGAGTTGTCTCAAGGATACCTTAGTACTTCATCAGGCCAGTGGTGAGATTTCTAAGATGAATCTCACTGTTTCCTGTTGTAATGAAATCCTAGTATCGGAGATAAAATCTGAATGCATCTGTGATGTAGGAAGGACCTGATTTGCCGCACATGTGCATGCATGTGTATCAGTACACAAGTGCTTGTGAAAGGGTAGGGAAGGCAGATTTAGGAAAAGAAGAGCACAAAGTAAAGTGGCCTGAGGCAGAGGGAGAATAAATAGAAATGTGAAGAGGAAGGACTGCAAAGACTTGGCTCTTCACTGGCCTGCAGGCAGACAGCTATGCCCAGATTCCTCTGAAGTCATAATGCTAACCGTGACAACCCGGGGAACTTCATCTCTGAGGAACCCAAAAATAAGAGACAGGAAGCATTGAAGCCTAATGCTCTTCCCAAAGGATGAAAACATGAATCTGGGTAACTTGAACATAGTTATCTTCAGAATCAGGCTCCAAAAGTCTTAGAAATCAAAACTTGGGAGAAGCTTAATGTTGGGACCAAATGAAAGTGGAATATCTAAAACCACTGCTAGATTTTTTTGTTTATATTCAGGGGACATCTACTTAACACCAGTGCTTTGTTTTCTGATTATATATGTAAAATATGCTCACTGTTGATCTTTCAGACAAAACAGCATTCACAAAAGCAAACTGATATTGGTAGTGGATGGATCGAAGTATTTTATAGTAGTTGGTCTGTTACAGAGGTTGTATCAGAGCTTAAACTTTACTGCTGCCTGTGAGAATGTGAGTTTTGGCTGAGTGTCAGTTAGCTAACACGTCTGCACAGCATAACTTCTAGATACTGCAGTAGACATAAACAAGTTATAAATCATTCTTATTTTGGACCAGAAGATTATATAGTACCCATCCATTGTCTATTAAGCTCGATTTTGGTCCTTGTACACTGGCACAAGTGGCCAATCAGTGGCCACATGCATACCCAGCTAAGGATCTGGGTTACATGATGTAGGCAGGCACTGTGCTTACCAAAGTCACTTTTGATTTTTACCAAAGGAAAAGGTCTGCTCTTCCATTCTAAAGTGAAATTACTTTAATGGCAGACACAGAAAAAGAAAGTCACCTGATCCTCAAACGTTTGTTTGTTCTAAAAACACCTGACCTTGTAGAAGTTAAGTACAGAGTAAACCAATAGTCGCCAGTGTTTACTAGAGTCTGGGGAGGGTAAGGATATTGAAGAGATTGGACCCAAAATTACAGAGGACATCTCTTTTCTACTAGGATAGTTCCACAAAACAGTTCCACAGGATCTAAATAAGCCAAATTACAACTTTTCTCTCCACTCTTAGAGCTTTATACTGTAAAAGTATATGTCCAGCAACTTTCAGACTAACTTTTTCATTAAAAACAAAACAAAACAAATTTCTAGGACTCCAGTGAATACTAAGTTGATCTAAATCAAGAACTCCTCTTAGAAAAAAACAAACAAAACTTTTTCTGGTCACGGCTGTAAATGATTTAGTGCTTCCATAGCATCTCAAAATTAAAAAGAAGTGCATAAATAACACTACTAATTACTGTTGATTAAGTAGCACAGCCTTTCATTTTACCAACAAGAGATGGAAAATTAGCATTACAAAAATACCTTAGAAAAAACCAATTCATTTTGAAATGTACTCATTTATTGCATTTTACTGAATGAATGACAACATAATTGAGATCTGAAGATAGAAATAGCAATAATAGGAAGATAACTACTCATACCTGAACTAATTCTGCCCTGAGCTCTTCCTTCTCCTCTTCAGAGAGCATGCTAGAGAAGTCAGCACTGGCTACTGCGTCCTCATCTCTTCCTTGCAATGGCTCGCTCTCCAACAAACCTTTAGGCGTAATTGATAAAACATAATCAATTTTTATAAAGTGAATCTGGCCAACTTCTTGTAGTTTAAAGGATTAGATACAATGAATAAATGTCCCATGGAAAACCTATGAGAAATTCCAGAAAAGAAAAAAAGTCTTCCCAAGTAGGTGATGAACTCCAAGAAAAGAAAGAATACTCTGAAAAACAAATGGAAAGAAAGAAAATGGAAAGCCATTTTGACACAGTTCATCATGTTCACATGCATTCATCGTGTTTACCTGTGTGACACAGGCCTACCCAAGGAGGGTGTAAAATGTGACATTTTACAACATTTCTTCCTTAAATCACATGATCCATGTCTAGGCCATCTTTCTTTCAGTATAAACAACGTGGATAAATTAACAGAGGAAAAAAGATAGAAAGCTATAACCAACCAACCAAGATGGAATTGAAAGAAACATCTGTAAAGGAATTTATAATCAGGCACGAATGGCTGATGCATGTAATCCTAGCTACTGAGGAGCTGAGATAAGAGGATCGAGGTTCCAAGCCAGCCCAGGGGCAAGAAAGTCCAAGAGACTCTTATCTCCAATGAATTACCAGAAAACAAGATGTGGAGCTGTGGCTCAAAGTGGTAGAGTGCTAGGTTGGAGCAAAAGAGCTGAGGGACAGCGTGCAGGCCCAGAGTTCAAGCCCCATGACCGACAGAAAAAAAAAAAAAGAAGAAGAAGACGAAGAAGAAGAAGAAGAAGAAGAAGAAAGAAAAGAAATTTATATTGAAACCAAAAATCCATAGAATTAAAAAAATAAAAATGAAACAAGTTTAATCTGAGTCCCCTGAGTAAATCTATGTCCTCACAGGGCTGAATCTTGACATTCAGGTAAACTGGTGGTGAATTCTGTCTCCCCAGCAATGTTCAGGGTAATTCTTGAAATGTAGTGCTGAATGGACAAAAACCTCCTCCCCTCAGAACTCATAACCCCAAGTGGATGATGTGTGAACTTGTCATTTGAATGTGCACCAACCATGTGAATAGGCCCAGACAATCTAAGACCACAAGTTAAACAAGGAAGACTCTCTCCATTTTGGATGACGTGATCTGAGGAATTTGGAACAGTGATGCTGAAGAAACACAGTGGATAGTGCTTTCATTTACCAGACATTCCAGAAGCCCCTTTTCCAGGGACAAACACAAACAGGAGCTCAACAAAGGAGAAATCTCAGCTAAAGAATAATTTTGCTGGTTCACACCCAGATCTAGCATTGGTTTAAACAGAGTACACACACCAAGAAGTAGCATGAACAAATATTGTAATTCTGCTACCACAGTATTTTGAACATAAAGACAGCTATTCTATTCTTTTAAGTGCAATAAAGCACAGAGAATTGTCTTAAAGATAATTTCCTTAGGTTTACTGCTAATGGAGGAACTTTAGAAAGCAGGTAGGCCTTAAAGAAACTGTCAAATGCTCCCACATGCCTGCTGAACCCTTCCTTTATGAGAAGTGTACTGCGGTGACAACTCATTCCACTTCTGCAATAGCAGCTTTAATACTTGTGATGATAGAGCCCTGATAACCCAGTGAAGCTCAATATTATTTCATTTGGGATTAGTTTTCAATACACAAAGTTTGGAAACATATTAAAACCACAGCAGTAATTCCCTAACTGAGAACCATTTGATAAATAGTACCTAAAATGTTATCAACTATGAACCAAGAGATGAATTTTAGGTTAAAGTACTTATTTTAATCTTGAAAGGAAATCATACATATTCTTGCTGAATCCTACCAGGCATTCTTGCAGACTAGGTAATGGCTTAAGCTATAAATTAAAATGCTTACAAATTGTAATTCCACACCAGTGGTTATATGATATATTTTTGGCAAATAGTCAAAAGTTACAAATTTCTTGTAAACAGTAAAATAATCCTGCTCCATACTAGGGGATTAAATAAATCAAACAAAGGAGAAAAGTGTATAGTTTCAAAAAGCATACAAAATTATCCTGATTTAATAAAAGAAGGAATCCAGTAAAGCAGCTTAAATGAAAACTTATCATGTCCAATGAGAAACTAAAAACTGTAATATTTATTACTTAATTACATTTTCTTCAAAATGCTGGTAAAAAATAGCCTCAGGAATTTTTCTTATAACATAAAACTTCAAAATATCAGAATTGGCGCTGTGGCTCAAGTTGTAGAGCAGTCGCCTTGAGCTGAAGAGCTCAGGGACAGTGCCCAGGAACACAGTTCAAGCCCCACGACTGACCAAAAAAAAAAAAAAGAACTTCAAAATATCCATTTATTCCTTCAGGGGAAAATCACTGAGCTTATCTCCTTACTGTAGGATTTATGATTATCTTTGAGTACACAAAATCCCCCCCCCAAACTGATACAAGTCAATTCTAGAAGGATGGAAATTAAAAGTAGAAAACAAGTTTGTTAGAACTTGACTTTCTGATAAACCTACTATGAAAACCTAAGTATTATTTCTCATGTACCTCCATTGTACAACTGCTAATTTTCATTTATTTGCTAGTAACATCCTCTAATCTGCTACTGAATTATGTTTCCTGTTGCCTTGGCGTTCTAGCCGAGGCTTCAAATGCAATACAATACAAAACAATACAACAGGTCTTTTATACCATTAAACCAAGGCTTGAACCATACTGTGGAACACAGCAAGGGATTTAAAACTGCTCTCCCAAAGAAACATAGGTCCCATGGTTTCCCTTATCTGCAATAACTAGTAAATGTCTGAGACAAGCAGAAGAGGTCAAAAGCTATGTACATATGAAATGAACCCCGAGATAGGGACACAAATGATTTTATCTTTCTTGTTATTCTTTTTAATGTACTTATAATGTACTATATGATTTTTTGTTTCTTTGTATGTTCTTTCCCCATGGTATAACCCCTGTTGTCACTGTATTTGATTCTAGTGTCCTGCATATAGTATATACATTTTTCTAATTTGGGGAGGGGAAGGGGAAAAAACAAAATGCTGAAATAAGGATACAGGATGACCTATTGTAATAATGAGATGTACAAGACACTATGCTGAAAATGAACTTTACAACTTTGAGAGGGTAGAGGGAAGAGTTGGGGAGGTGGGAAGGAAAGGGATGGTAGGGGAAAAACAAAGGAGGGGTAACAATGCTTGATAGGAAATGGACTCATTACCTTGTTCATATAACTGTAACCCCTCTGTACAGTATCTTTACAATAAAAATATATTTGAAAACTTTTCCCAGGTCCACGGACCTTTGAGAGTAGGCTCAAGAGGATCAAGAGAGAGCGGCATTGTGGGAAACTTGCATGCACCTCCTAGAGGTCACAAATGTCACCATAATGCGAAATACTCCAGATCTTTTCCTCACATCCCCACCGCCTACTATAGCATCTCAGAGTCAAGAAACCTCTTATAATCAATAGTGTTTTACAATTATGTGGTAGTATGTTCCTTTTTATGGTTTATAAAATGATTAAGTATCTTAACACCTTTGCCAACCTCATTTTCTAAAATAATATATATATATAGTCACCCTGAAGTACCATGACAGATTGTTTCCAGAATCCAACCAGATACCAGGATGCTTAAGTCCTTCATATACAATGGCCTAGTAATTTGCCTATAACTGATGTATTTTTTCTGTGTATTTCAAATCATCTCTGGATATATTAGATTTGTTAATTCATAAAGTCTAATATAATATAGATGCTATGCATACAGTTCTTATATGGTTTAGGGAATAATGCCAAAGGGGAAAAAATCTGAACACGTTCAGTATAGAGTTGTTAAAAATATTTTTAAAACCCAATTGGCTGTCTCTGTGGGCAAGCAGAATGGGCAGCCAAGGAAGGGGAAGGCATATATCCACATCTATATGATTAAAAATGAAATCACATTGTTTTGTACAAAATTTCATTTTTCCCATCTCATTCTTTTCCATCTCATTTACAAACCGACTACATAAATTGTTCTCACTTGGGCCTAGGATGTATTAAGAACTAATTTTTCCCTCACTAATTATCCAATTCATAACAGCATGCCTGCCCGGTTGTTATGTTCCTAAAACATATTTTCATCACTGACTCATGGAAGAGAGCTGGCTCTATCCTGCAAAATTTATCATAACATTTTGATTCATGATTTATTGGCTGATTACAAGATAGCAGGGACACTGAAAAAGAGTATATGTCTTGGGGACAAACCAATCTTAGAAAGAATTTTAACCCAACTCTTTCAACTTTGCAACTGCATTAGTTGAAGCCTCACATCTGTAAAACAGGGATAATACTGCTACCCATGAGGGTAACATGTGAGGGGTTACAGTTTTGCAAAATGCCTAGCACTGTGCCTGGCATATAATAACCAGCAAAACCATGTTGGCTTCCAGTCTGATCATAATTGAATGATTTTCTACCTTGATTGGGACTATTTTAAAATCCAAGTGCCATGAAAGAAAAATTAGATGGCATTAATGTGTCTTCAAGAAGCTAACAGAAACGTTTCACTGTGATGAACCACTGACATTTATATCCTAGTGACATCCAAAATAATTTCCCTAAACTGCTGTGCTCTCTTTAGTGTTTTAGTTGAATCTTTGTTGTATTAAGGGCACTTGGCAATACCCTTTCTGGCCACTGCTTAAGGGACTGGAAAGAACAACTGACATAGGGTGTCCTCTGGATTCCTCTCTTGAAATCTGACTGCCACAAAGGACCAATAACGGAGTAAGGTTAAATCAGATCCTGGCAGAAAGGTGTAAGTAAACTTAAATCTCTAGAACTGCCCTAGATCTTTCTTCCTTCCTGTCTTCCTCCTCCCTTCCGTCCTTTCCTCCCTCCTCCCTCCATCCCTCCTCCCTCTCTCCCTACTTTCCTTCCTTCCTTCCTTCCTTTTCTCCTCCTTCCCTCTCTTCCACCTGCCTTCTCTCCTTCCTTCCTGCCTTCAACAAAAATTGATTGAAAACTGAGTTATGCATGAGTCACCTGTCATTGGCCCTATCATTTT